ACAAGTCAGTAATAATAATAATACAGTGCTTGATGTGTATCAGATAATGCAAACTGTGCACACTTATTTCACAAATTCATACTGGAACATCACCATTCACTCACATTGGTCTCAGCTTGGACTTCAGCTCTCAGCTTCATACACAAGGATGCTTTAAGAGCACGCTGTCTAGTTTCATTTTACTTTTTCCGGTGGTTTTCCCTCATGCGACACTCCCACTCCATCCTGATTTTGTCTTAATGAAGATCTTCACAGCGGGAAGCGTTACAGCAGGACAGAGCCACGTGTCAGGAAGCAAAGCAGGGTCTTTTTTTTTTTTTTCTCAAAACACACACTGCTTCATTTCAATTCGAATAAGATGAGGTGGCGAGAGTCGCGGCGGAAGACAGAGGGGTGTGCAGGGGAAGGGAGATGTGAAAGGGATGAAAGTGTGGCAGTCCCCACCTCCCAGTGTTGGAGTGTGAATGGGGCTGCCCACCCCTCTCTGCAGGGGGTCCTCTCCCTCTCCTGCAGCATGTGTTCATATTACACACTCCACACTACAGCATAAAGAACATGTAATCTCTGGTGCTACTGCTGGTTTATTTCACTGTTTGCACCTTTAGTAGGATTTTCAGTTAAAAGTCTGTCATAATGAGAAAGTTGCAGGAAAAAAAATTAAAGCAAACCTTTTGTTTTATTGTAAATGGTGACATGAGGCAGCATAGTTTGTCTGTGATTGTCAAATGATTTTTGATAATTGCTGAGTGTGTTCATTGTTTTTAGAAGTGGATTTTTGAAATAGTGCTGCAACCATTGTTTTCATCATTAGTTACTGAAAAAGGGCATCACAATTTCCCAGAGACCATGGCAACACCTTTCAGTAGCCCTTTTTACCCAGAGACCCCATGATAGGGCTGCCTTATGACACGACATAATGCCGCCTTTGATTTTTTTACAGAACCAAACAATGGCGACATCAAGCCACCTCAGTGTGTGGTTTTAGACAGCATACTGATATCTCAGAAGCAAAAGAGGCGTGACGGGTGTGACATGTAACACAACAACATCGGCTTCTAGTGTGACATATAAAATGCAAGTCATGACAATGACTTGACATGACAATAAATATCATTTATCATCCCTGTTACATGGCACTTCATCTCGGTAACTGCTCTGAGGGTAAGGAGCTCATTGTCGACCCAGTTTGCTGTCTTCTTCTCTGAGTTAGCTGCTAACTGCTTCTAGATGCTTTTTAAATCCCCCGGTGGTGGGTCACACACATAACATGTCATCAAAAATGTCACAACTGCCCCATCCTGACGGCTGTGCCTTTTACACAGACGTTAATTGATTGCTGTCACTACCTCCAGTGCTGGCTTAAAGGCGAGACATTTCTGTCCCCAGCTTCTGCGATTGTATCTTTCAGAGGCAGAGTAACGGCACAACATTCCCGCCTCGAACAGGAGGGCCTTTAACCCCTCCTGTGTTTTGTCCAAAACCAAATATTATTCACTTTACAGTACATAAGAAACAGAGAATTCAAAAAAATACCTCACATGTGAGAAACTGGATTCATCAAATGTTTTGCCAAGTTGCTAAAAAAAATCACAATTAATTATTAAAATAGTTGCCAATTAATTTTCTGTCCATCTGCTATGCAATTAATCAACTACTTGTTTAAGATCTAATTTAAATAGCTGTAACTTATGATTTTTGTGTTGATATGACAGCTTTTATTAAACAAACACTAAAGCCAACAGTATTAAAAGTTCATTTTTTAATTTCCAGTTGAAAGTTTTTAATTCACTGTGCATTAACATAAAATGCAGCCCTGTGATTTACTGGCAACCTGTCCAGGATGTACCCCGCATCCCTCCCAATGTCCGCTGGGATCAGCTCCAGCCCCCCGAGACCCTGTAAGTGATGAGAGGTTACAGTTAATGGAGGAATAGATTTTTATCATATCATGCGTAATTTGATGCCCAATGCTGAAGACAAGAATAGTCTGTGATGCTCTTTTCCAACACACAGTATGAATTAAAACTTGAGTAGGCTGAACTCTGGAGGAGTACTGACACAGCATATTGCTCTGAAATATTCATGCATCACGGTTCTGACAGTAATCCGCATCTTAATCGCAACACAACAGCAGTGATGGCGAAGGCACTGACACGTATACTGACACTCTTTTTATCCCTTCAGTGGCGGTTGCACTTCTACTGTAATGAGAGGAGATTTGCACGTCTTCTCTGAAACATCCCAGCAGATGGATTTATTTATGTATAGAATTATTTATGCTGAACTCACAGTCCTACTGTACCGAAAACATACTGTATGTACACAAGCACACACATAAGGAGTAAGCCAACTGTGTTCTGGCTGTGTGACAGTTATTCTGTCTGGCAGGATTCAGAGCCTTCACGACTGAATATACAGCAGACTCTCACTTTACCAGAGTCCCAGTCGCACAAAAATCGACTTTCCACCAGGCACACGTTGGATTCATCTCTGCTCTCTGCACTCCACTGCTTCACGTAAAGGTCCAGCGATGTTTAGATGTGTGGTGTTTGTGGAGGTCATTTGTCTTCATCCCGGTGTTCGTGATTCCACTGTCAAACTTGTTCTGCGGTGTGTATTGCAGCAATTCCACAGATACCAGTTTTCTGATCCTCACACAAAACATTTTAAGCTGAGTCTGTGTCACAGAGGTGATGATTCAACCCTGTGGCAGTTTGACAGGTTGTAGTTTTGTGACGCGTGTGTGTGGTTTACCAACTATGTTGGTGTGAATCCCTTCACTCCTGCTGTTCTTGAGCTTCTGACCACTTTGCCAAAGTCATTTGTGGTTCTGAGTCACAAGTCAGGTGTCGACTGGCCTCTTTGGAAACCTGTTAATGCCAAAAAATAAGCGTAGAAACGCCCACGCTTATTATTTTCTAACAAGTCCACACACTGGTTGCTTCGTGACGCATCAGCTCTCCAGAAAAGCCGGTTCCACACTACTACTGTTATTTGAAAGGCACGTACAGTATGCACAATGAGCATTAGATAGAAAGCATGTATAATAACTTTTAAATGACATGCATGGCAGACTTTATTCCATGCGCTGTTTTGGCCTCCTTCAGAGCTAAAAGGACCACATTGTGTTTATAGCTTGCCTTGAGGGATAACTGGATGAATGAAATCTTCTGCATACAAAATATTTAGTAAACCCTATTCTTAAACAGTCGATTTCTTAATAGCTGTTGCATCCTACATGTTTACATTCAGCTTGATTTATTTGGAGAATTCCTGCGGATATCCATTCATTTATTTTATGTAATCCTGTTAGGGGTCACGGAGGGCTGGAGCCTATCCCAGCTGACACTGGGCAAGAGGCAGGGTACAACCTGGACAGGTCACCAGACTGTCACAGGGCTGACACATAGAGACAAACAACCATTCACACTCACATTCACACCTACGGCCAATTTAGAGTCACCAATAAACCTGCATGTCTTTGGACTGTGGGAGGAAGCCGGAGTACCCAGAGAAAACCCATGCTGAATTCTGAACTCCACACAGAAATTAATTGATCTAAAAATATGGTCTTTTAATTATTGGTGTTAAAATATCTTAAATCAATCTTTCAAAAGTCTTAAAAATGTCGAGACATGGGAAGAGGGATTTTTCTGTCTGTTCTACCCTAGTCTCCACCACAAGATAAAAAGCAGTCATGTTTTATATTACGATATACATCTAGCCAAAAAGTCTTAAATCTGACTTGCCTTAAGCTAAAGAACCCTGTATTTAAGTGTAGGTGCCCTCTGAGAATGTAATCGATTCAGTTTTGATGAGGAATTTTATTAGTTTGCATCAATATTTCTGTGCTTTCATCCACTTGGGATTTGATTTCAGTAATGAGATATGTGGCCTTGAGTGTGTGTGTGTGATAACGGATGTATACAGTCCTCACACAAAAGCTTTGGTGTAATCACTTTGAGGCTGAGGGTCTGTGATGCAGTCTGCCGTGGTTGGGAAGTTTTCACTTACAGTTTAATTTCATTTTCAGGGCAGTGGAGTGAAGCCTGAGCCTTAAATCCAGACTGACGCTTTGCTGTAGGAAAATAGACACTCAAACAATCATTGACCCCATCCACCCCTGCTCTCCCCCCACAGCTAAAGACAGCGTTATTATGCTTGCCGTGGCTGGGTAAGTGGACCCTGATTGATCAGTATTGATTAGAACTGTATTTGTCAGACAGTAATGGGCCTCCCCCTCAGGACATTATGTCTGCTGATTCCCACCCGCCCCCACCTCTGGCCCCACTTCACCCCTCTCTTATGTCCTACTTGTAGCTGCCCTCCCCCGTCTGCTCGTAGGCCCCTTTGACCGCTAATCAAAGTGCAGCATCCTTCACTTTACCTCTGCTCCTCCTTTGTTTGTCCATCCATGCTCAACAAGGAGCTGGAGGATGGAGGCAGTGACGCAGAGGTCGATGGAGACAGTATCAGGGCATGTGTTTCTTTTTTACTTGAGTGTGCAGGTGAAAGGATGAATCCATCAGCTGTTTTGATTTCAAGTTCAATACTTAAGCTAATATTAAAACCTACAGGGTGTGCTGTTTGTGTGCAAGCCAGTGTGTGTGTGCATGTAAACGTGTTTACAGTACAGATGCTGGGGAGAGAAACCGCCTCGGGCATCTGTGTTCAGACTCCTCCTCAAACAATAGACATGTCTGTGTGGATGACCTGATGAGCGTGGAACTGATTACAGCTACTCTGCAGAAACACACATACACACCCTCAGTTGCCGTTACCACACACAGACTGTGTGACAAACAAAAGGTTAAAAACATCACAACACAATATAGCAAATGTGTGCAGATTAACATGTTAAAAAATTCACACTGATTCAGTGGTCAGTATTGATACAAAACTCATCACACTTGTCAAGGCAAGCAAGCTTTTCTATGAAGAAGTTAAGATGTATCTCAGATGCATTTTAACAAGATGTCCAATTCTGTTTTGTCCTACAGAGTAAAATACTGAGCCTTCCCCTCCTGCACTGTGACGTCAAACCTCACCTGCTTCACCTGCACACTGCACAGCTGAAGGCAGAACAAGGTAACATTAGTACATTTGATATTGTACATCTGTGTTTGCATGTGTGTGTGCAATCAAGATGTTATTTTTATTAATCTGGGATTTGTTTATATGGACTTGGCAGATTGCAACATTTATCTTACTTAAAACCAAACATTTGTTTTGGGGCTGTGTGATCCACTTTTCTTCAATTGTCTTGATACCTTAAATTTAAGCATTTCTCTTCTAATCACTGAAATCTTCAACTTATTGTTTTAATTTGCAATTTCCAATATGTTTAGGCTCTCTGTGTCTGGTTCTGATTTGTATTTATTTTTGTATGTATCTATTAGGGATGCACCGAATATTCGGTAACCAAATATATTCGGCCGAATATTGCAAAAAAACACACATTCGGTATTTGGTGGAATAAGTTAAAAGCAAGGCCGAATAATAGCGGCGTGTTTTGATAACGCAATCAATTGGCGTGCCGTGACGGGCGGAATAAAATGTCGGCAGTGTGGTGATCCGTCCGTCACCGCATTTGCGACTAAAAATAGCTTTGAGCGAGCAAAATAGGTTTAAATCATTCAGCACGCTGTGTGAGCAGCCTACAGATTTCAACCAACAGCAGAAACGAAAGGCGAATCCCACCGATTGTGGGTTGAACGGGGGTCACAGACACAGACAGTAATGTATTCCTGTCAAATACGGTGGCCAATGGCTTACCGGCGGCGGAGAAGTCGGTTCCAATAATATCCTCTTCTTGGTGTCATGACTGCCCAGAAGTACCTGAACGGCCGAGCCAGCAGAACACAGGTATGTGACGTGTCAGAGGAGAAACGAGCCGTTCACATTACTCTTTCTGGCAGTAGCGGTCCACAAACCTCACCGCACTTTAGGGACTGTTCGTTATTTATGAAGGGACTTGTCAGGGGAGGAGGGTGGCTGGTTGATTCTTATTTTTTTTATTTATTTTATTTGATCCCCCTTATGTTAATCACTTATTGAAGTCAATAAGTAATTTATTCCATTGAAATATCATTGATGTATTATAGAAAAGTGATTTATCTTTTTATAAATGACAAAAGGCACATCTGCCTCATTTTCGCTGTGGTATTGTGATACTACTCAGAACCATGATATTTTCATTGGTATCGCACAGTGGGTCCCAATTTTGGTACCGTGACAACACTAATCTGGAGGGGGTTCATCTGCAAAAACTAATGAAAAACTAAACAGTGATATTCGGTACTCGGTATTCGGCCAAGCGTTTAATAATATTCGGCTTCGGCTTCGGCCACAAATTTTCATTTCGGTGCATCCCTAGTATCTGTGCATGAGTAGGTAGTATGAATGCGTTTTGTCTAGGGGTGTCAGTTTCGGTTAATCTTGCTTTTGGTAGCCTGACACCCGCTAATTGGTAACTAACTGATTAGTTTTTAAGAAAAAACAAAATGACGTAAAATACCAGATTCCTTTCATTTTAGACTGGCGCTCCACAGACTCACTGAGCTTTAGCGCTGCCTTTCAAAGCACCATCCATTTAGAGGTGGTAAAATTTAAATGTTTTCTGATGTAAATGTCTTGGCTTTTATTTTGTGTTAGCTTTGCTGACAAACAGCTGGCTAGTTGCGTTAGCATGCATAGTAGCCACTACCCACCCTCTGATCTAATGATGATGCTAACATTAGCCTTGGCCACTCTGCATTGCTTACCACCTGGGTTGGGTGGGAGCTAAGTTAACTAGCGGCACAATGGTGGGGTGGGCACAATGTTTCCATAGCAACGCTGTTGGACTGGGACAATGTTAGAAGCAGTAATCACCTAATGAATGGTACTGCTAGTTAGCTTCCACCAGACATGGGTGTTGCGCAATGCAGTAGCCTGAGGAGCAGTTAAATTAACTGACAGACCGACAGGTGTAACTGGTCAAAAATACTCTCGACAGTTAACTGATAATCAGATAAGGGTTAACCACCAATTAAAGGTTAACCATTGACATGCCTAATTCCTTCATGTCTGTCATGTTTTCTTTATTCTGCTTGGTTTAACTGTAAACATAACTCACGTCACTCTTCGAATGTTTGCTTATAAGAAAAGAGAGACTTGATAAGAAGCTAATTAACTTGATGACCTGGATATTTTCCTGCAGTGTAGGGCTGAGCTATCTGCTTATTGTAGATAAAGCCCTTCCTCATCTGCAATTTGTACTGATGATAAAAAGCAGGTCACCTGTTGTATACTTCACTCCGTGAAGGAGTGCTGCAGTAACGACCACAGTCACAACACAACACAACATCCGTCTTATTAGGGACTCCCACAATGCTATGATAATTCATCCTGATTCTTTTTGCAGAGTTTTTTTGGTTGTCGTCATGAACTTGTTATCAGCAACTTCTTCTGATTTACACAGTTGTTGTTTATTGACATCAGGAAGCACTTTGACCCACCTCTGAACTGTCTGTGCTGCTGTTAGCTATGTTTAGCTTCAGTGTCAACAAAGGTAGTGGCCACAAAAGCTGAAATATTCAATAATGTTTTACTCTTTGAGCTATTATTTTTTCTGTGGTTTTCATGAAATATTTTGTAGGTGTGTCTGGGATTCTGTTACATGACACTACACGCTACTTAAGTACAGTTTTGAGGTACTTTAGCATTTCTAATTCATGCTTCTTTCAACTGCGCTACATTTCAGAGGCAGATATTGTGCCTTTTACTTTACTAGATGTATTTAATCACTCCAGTTCTTCTGAGCTCTGTTGCCAGCCTCCGAGCTCCCAGCTTCCAGACTTCAAGGTTCTTTGCAACACTTCCGCCTCTTATGTAAACCTGGTGTTCTCACCTAGATGTTCTCTCAGGTACCAACATTTGGCACACTGACTCTCCTCCAGCTACCACCTTGCTTTCATCTGACCTCCTTGACTGTGTAAAGAAATGTTCTCTCCTGAGATAAAATAGATTAGTTCTGAAAAATAATTGGCAACCAGAAAGATTGCAAGAACATTTTAATCAAGCGCTGCAGTATCTGAATATTTACTCATCTCAGCCTCCCCTCTGTTTCTCCTCTCCACCTCCATCTCTCCTTGTTTTCTCACCACCATTCATCTGCTCCACCTCCTGCAGCCAAACCAGTGAATGATAATGATGATGAATGGTGATGTGGGCCGAGATTTGTGATCCTCCAGCTGGATGCAAATTGTTAGACTTGTTTCGTGGATGTTTGAATGTGTGTGTGTGCGTGTGGTCTTCCTCCTCCTCTCGAGCTGTCTCGGTGTCATGGGACGGCGGCCTGACAGACAGACAGGCAGATGGAAGTGACACAAATGACATCAGCGGGATTCAGCAAAACAATGTAGACGGAAATCAGTGGAGACAATGACAGTGGGGTCGGGAGAGACTTGAGGAAAAGACTGGGGAAGGAAAGTGAGTGGAGAGGAAAACAGGGCGACGGGGAGAGAGCTGTAGCTTAGTTAAGCTCCAGTCTGAGAGGGAGAGATGTCGCCTCCAGATAAACCAAACACACTTACAGGCTCAATATAGACCAGAGCCTGAGGCTTCATCTGTATATTTCCTTCCAGTGCAACGTTCTGATATGTCAATGTTGTTTTCAGTGTTTCCTGTAGAGTTTTGCTGTTGATGGAGGGGTTCAGTTTGTAGCTGACACTCAAGTTTCAGACCTCCAGAATCGCCTGCAGTTAGTGTTGCACGTAAAGAATGTGGCGTGTGAGCAATTGTGCCATTACTGTTAGTATTTTAGGTCAGATGGCTTGGCTTTTTCATGAAGGACGTTTCCTGCCATAGGGAAAGAAAACATTTTTCTTAAGGGGGGTGTACATTGTACGATGTGAGCCTGTTTCTGACCCGATTGTTGAGCTGCGAGACCCTATGAGTCTGAATTTGTCTGACTGAATTTCAGCTTTGTTGGGTGTCGTTTGCCATGCAATATACAGGGGGAAGTGAGGACTGATCATGGCCAGATCAACTGCTCCCTACTGACCATCGGACGTTTGAAAGAATTTCTGTCATGTCAAAAATTTTCGTCGGCTGTTGTGAGGCTCTCACACAGAGCCAAGAGTCGATTTCCCATGGTCAGTGCCTTTTTCTCACTGCGCCTGTGCCAAGTGGAAAACTAAACTTCCTAAAGTGCCATCGTGACACAATGCGTCGTGTGGACGGAAATTATGAAGTCTGCTATCACGACTGATATGAACGAGAAACGTGGCAATAATGCATTATGGTGAAATCTGCTGGTGCAACGCTGCAGACCTCCGCTAGCAAACAAACTTCTACCTGCATCAGAACTTCCAAACAAATCTTTATTGGCGATTGTCAATAGCTAGGACTGTCCGTTGGGGCCAATGGGCAATTTTATCGTCTGTTTTACACGTACAGTTTGAGCACTCCTGCCCGGGCTTGACGTTGGGATCATACAGTCTGAGTACATACATTGTGAACTTTGGCTTTACATCGCAAGTGATTTACTGGTAATGTAGGAGTTGGAATTAAGCAACATTTCTAAAATGTGCAGTAAATCGTAGGGTCTACATCCAGGTTAATAGCTGGGTCAGAGTGTGATGTCTGGTCAGAAGCAGAGCCCTGTAGCTCCATTTGGCTTGTTAGATTTGTTTATCAAATCTGTCATTGTAGAAGGGAAAGCCGTTTGCCTCAGACACCGGCAGTCATCCTGTAACCGCTCTTCATGAGCCTTTTATAACTGCTCTCTACTCCACGGCACAATGAGACATCCGGGCTGCTGAACTTCACTGATGATCCAAGACAACCTCACCTCCACCACTTCCTTTTAGCAAAACACTAATGACTTTTAATTTTAGACTCTTCCAGAGCTGTGTTTTAGTCTTTTGGGGTCCGACCTCGAGTCACAAGTCTTCATAAGCCAATTTTTAGTTATCTGCCATTCCAATTCTTCCTTCTATCAATACTGGCTGTGAAAAGATCCTTTGTGTCACAGCTACTCTGTAAGAAATAAGTGGATAGACTTAAAACACAGCATCTGACTTTTGCATTTCAAAGCTTTGATT